GAAAGACCAGGGTGCCCAACGTCATGAAACATTGAATGTCTCTGAAAGCACTGCCTAAAGACCTGCTCCAGTTCCTTAGTAGACACATGTCAAGATGATAGCTTTTCAACTGTTTTCATTTTCATGATATGCTGGAGGCCCAAATCTGGCAAAAGACATTATCAGAGGAATAAGTTCTGATTAATGTCATCGGCTGATATTTAATGATAATGATTTGCAACTATGTTATAATTAAAAATCCAGCCTCTAACAGAGCGTTTCAAAAGTATACCATTTGGACCGTTACCTTTTGACAAACAATTTAATATCATTGTTTACTGGATGTTGTTAGCAGCTTTTAATGAACACAAATCTCCATAAGCTTCCAGTTTGGCAGAAGAGGGGAGTCCATGAACAGGTCAAGGGGTTGATGTTAATTCAGACATACATATACAGTCCTTCATCTGCAAAGTACGTGGTCCCGGAATATTGTTTGATGATGGATCCGACCTGTCAGTATGGGGAGAGGAGGTGGTGAAGACGGCTCAGAAAACTGAACTGCTCTCCCAGATCTACAGTCCGTCTATGCCGACCGCCTGCAGAGAAAGGCCAAATTCGTCTGCACAGACAAAACCCAGCCAGGACTTTCCTTGTTTGTCCCCCTATCATCATTAATAAGGACTAAAATGTGCAACAGAACCTGCTCTGATTTGATATCATTTTTAAATTCTTTATATTGTGAACTTTTAAATGGACTGCTCACACTATGCTGATGCTGCTTTTTATTATCAGTGGACCTTGTTTTTAGTTGTTTCCTGTTTTATTCAGTTTATGTTGGCTTGCATTTAAATATTGTTCCTCGCTGTTTTGAGAGTGCCAGAGACAAACTTCCTTATGTCCTTAGAGGTCAAAAGAAAAATTGAAAGTTACATTTGCTCATAACCTCCATCAGAATTTCCCATTACACAATTTTAAAATGGAGCCTTTTTGTGAGCTCTGGAAGCCTGAGAGGCTATTTCAGGACCTCGTTAGTGTTGGGGAAGGTCGTCTAATAAAGAAAGGGCTAGTGATGATACTATAACGGTCAACACAGCCACAAGCCAACTCAAATCTAGCAAGAACTATCTCCAGTAAATCCCATGTGAGCAACACATTGTTTCATAACTGGAGTGACATTTACCAGTGAAAATACAAGGTTCACAGTGCACCAGTAAGTATCACCATCAACAACACACATCATGGGATCTCACACTAACTACAGCTAATTATTTATCTAATCAAAGCCCAGAGGTTTACAGTACGAGTGGATTTGTCTGTCTTCAGGTAGTTTCTCCTGTGAATATCATGTCTGGAAATGTCTGCCATTAAGGTTTTATGGCTTCAAATTTAAAGCCAGTGTCTGTCTTGAAATGAAAGTTTGAGTTTTAAAATGTTTTTCTTGACTAGGAACAAGAAAAAATGCACAAAGACAGTTATCACACTAAACTTTTTTTTATATAATTAAAGCTACCACAAGTAAAATTTAGAAATGGAATTTTTAATCTGGTGATGTCATCATGTGTGACACAGCAGTTTACATTTATTTCACTCTTCTTTGCCTCAGCATTAAAGCGCTCCTTCTGTTGCCCATTCTTTCCCTGACATTTATTTTTCTAAGGCCACTTTCAGCATTTGGGATTTTTCCACTTTTGTTATCCTTTTGTCAAGTTTGGAGTCAAAGTTAACCAAAAGGAAAGTGAAGCAAAATGTCGAGGGGTGAGAGGCTCAACCTTTAGACATTTGCAGAGGTAATCAATCAGGTTGACAGCTGTGCCAAGAACACTGCCTCGCTCGCCTGATGCTTGTAAATGTGGCAGCACCGTGCCATGAAAGGAAGCAGGAGTTCTCACATAAGTAATTAATTTCAATGCATCATCATAAAAAAGGCCAATTAAGAAGAAAGGTCACAGCATGAGGTCAGTGTTTGGACTCACCGCGTGATTATGGGCTGTAGGTACTGAAGTGCAGCCACATTTGTGTGTTATTAGCTTAGCTGAGCAGGTCATCGCGGTCATTACATCAGCAGGCGAGATAAACTGTAGACTCAGGAACAATTAAAGTAAAGAAATGCACAATTATAGACATGAATAAAATAAGGTTGCATTAAGTGAGAAGGCCTTAGGATGTGTCCAAACTCTTTGATGGTGTCCTCCTGGATTCAAGACGAGTTTATAAGAGACTGTTAAAACTGTCATCTACAGCTCAGCCTAGTTTTATTATGTTTTCACTTTAACTCGAAAATCTAAGCTATGCGAACATAATCTGGCAGAGAACCCAAGAAAGCAAACCACACAGAATAAGCAGGCGATTAGTGAGTGAGGACTGATGATATGACAAGAGTGGCAGGAGTACGGGGTTGAAACAGGGCAGTTCATCTGACAGCAGCAATCCTTTATTATGCCTTTTTTAACAGCTTCACACAATGATTTTCTGATAGACGTGAGCTCTCAAACAAAACAGCCACTGAAGACAAAGATTTGCTTCTGTGCACTGATTTAGGCCAGGGCTTCTCAAAACCAGACGGCAAGTCAATCCGGAGCCAGCATACACCTCGTATTAGGAATACAATAATATAATTTAATGAAGTGGATGTTTCCTACTTAAAAAAAAAAAAAAAAAAAAAAGTTTTATACTTAGATTACTTTTGTAGAATATAGTTTATTTGGTGACAAATACAGCGATCCTGACCCGAGAATAAGGCTAAACATAATAATTTCCCTTTTTGACATTGTCACAGCAGCGTCAACAGCCAGCGGCGTATGACGTTTAACATCAACAAGTGACAGAGCTCAAGGGTCTGGTAACAGGCGACTGAGTTAGCTAACGGCTAACAACCATTCACGTTCTGTGCTTCAGGCACAAGAAAGTGAGACTTCAGTATCTTCTGTCAGTACAATATGCCACCAATGCGGTGAGGATATCACTATCCAAAAGTGCAAAGAAAAGAAAAGCTGACCAAGAAAATTGAAGTTTCAGCTCCATGCATGAGAGGGTCAGAATAGTAGAAATACCTCTACTGTAACTATAATGAATAGAAAAACAACTATGATCAGTAATATCTAAGGCTGCTTTGAGATTTCAGAGAACTAAGCCTGCGGATTTTCTTCATCACATGTAAAGTAATTAGTTATCTGTCGCCTTCCAGGTTGTCGTCATTATTCACTGCTCTTAAACCATTTTACAATACTCAAATTCTGAAGACGTCAGGCAAATGCCTTTTAGTTTACATTTTACAGTTGAAATTCTTTGAAATTACAGTTGCTTTAAAGCCAAAATAGTCTCCAAATAACTCTGACATCCATGAGTCTGTAGAGTGAAAACATTGGATAGATGGATCGAGTTGGGCCTCGTGGTGGAATGTGTACACTCTCTTACTTCCTTCCTCTCCCCAGAGGAATCTTCTGTGTGTCTGCCGTGCAGCACATCAACACAAACTGTTAGTTTGTCGCTTGAGTTGGAAAGCCATCGACTGGGCCCAAAAAGCACTTCCCTATAGGAAACGTTTTCATTATCTTTTCCTTCTTGTGGGCTCCCAAGCTGCATGTCAAATAGAGACATTTTTGGTGAGTGAAATTTGGCAATTTGAAATGAGGACTCTGTCAAAAGAGTAACAGCCTAGCATTGGAGATTGTGAAGGACATCTGTTCATGACCTCAGACCCTACCAGCTGCAGCCACCCTCATCCAAGCGCTTCTCCAAGCCCTCAGCCAAACCCTGGCTCTTGGCATTGCACAGCAGACCTTCTTGAAGGGCTTCAGTTTTCACGACTCGGAATGAAATTATTTTGTACAAAACATGGTGCTGGAATTGTCTGCACAACCTTTGACATTTTTCCTTTTTTTTTTACCTAAACAACCATGCTG